TTTTACTCTTTTTTATTATGTTTTTTTATTGTATTAAAAATAATTATAATTTTTTTTTTGTTTTCCAATTACTATTTTTTAAATCAACAAAAATATTTTGGTAAAAACCGAAAAACCCCGTAACCGAACCGAAATAAACCGAACCAAACGAACCATTGTTCCAAATTTTTTAGCATATAACTGAACCGAACTGAACTTTGTACTTTGATTCGTCATTTGGTTTTAGGTGAAAACCGAACCGTTTGAACCGAACTCACCCCTAATATAGTTTTCTGCACCTGCCAATAATATTCTACATTGGGTATTATTATATATTATTATATGATGCATAAGATAGTCAAATGTATAGATTTTGGATGAAGCCATGACATATGATTTGTACCACTAGCACTAAAAATGTTAACATTCTGAAATATAGGGATCTTTGGTACTTGGTGCATGGTTGACACGATTAGTTGAATAAATATTTTTAACCTTTTAATAATTGTTAGCTTTTATTAAACTAAATGTTAGCTTTTATTAAGTTTAATTTTATTAAATTAAAAGAAACGAACTTTTTCTAAGTAGCTTCTAAAAAAATTAGAGAATGATATAATTATTATACAAATAAAGATTACAGAATGATTACAAAATGAGTTATTTACTGTTTAGACATGTAAGAAAGGATTCAAAATCTTGATTCAATTTTAAAATTATGAATATTTATTAGTTTTATGTACAAGGACTTTTTTTACTTATTAGTTTTATTCTTTTATATAAAATTTAATCCATATTAATGAATATTAGAAATCTTTAATAATCATTAGTAAATTTATAAAACCGCACTAAAAATGATTAAATATTAAGATATACTATCTTCGTCCCTTTTTATTTAGTCATCTTTGACTTTTTTGGTCAAAGATGGTAAATTTTGATCCATTATTTTAATAATGTATTAATGTGATACTTAATAAATTTATACTCTTATGATACTATTTTGAGAAATTACCCTAAATAGGACTAAACACGTTTGTAACATCCAAAATAGGACTATCATGTTTTTTTCCAAAAAATAGGACTAGTTACTGTCATGTTTTGGCAGTATCAGACTTTAAACATGACAGTATTTTCCAAACTTGGGAGTAATTACTCTTATTTTGAAAATAAAACATGGCAATCCAATTTTGAAATTTTGAAATTTTTTACTCCTATTTCGGGAATTTTCCCTGATATAAGACGAAAACATAAGGAAAGTGCAAAAATAGGACTAAATATGTTTTATTCCCCAATTAGGACTTATTTAGTCATATTAAAAGAATAAGTTAATTAGAAGTTCCTAAAATAGGATTGAATGAGTCATATATTAGGAATAAAACAATGATAGTCCTATTTGTGAACTCTGTCATTATTTTAGTCCTATTGTTTTAACAAAAAAAACATTTTTCATATTATTTGCATATTATTAATATTACTGTATAATAAATACATAGTATATAATCATTCAAAGTTTAACTTCTTTGACTTGAAAAGTCAAATTTGGCTTAATAAAAGTGGTCGGAGGTAGTATATAATTTATTCCTATAATTTATAAGTTATCGAAATGCTCGAGTCCGGATCGAACTAATTAAACATGAGTATGCTCGAATTCGGCTTGAATAACTATTCAAACTCAAATTATAACCCGTATTCGAGTTCGAAGCTTATTAAGCTGGGTCATTAAATTAGATTTGAAATCACGCTCGAACCTTTGAAAAAAAAGGTCATTTCAATAACAATCCTAAGCTAAACTTTTTGTGTGCAGTAACAAAAAGTTTACTGCTTAGCCCACCCCAACCCTCATTCTTGGATCTATCCGACTATCCCTGTGTATAAGGCAGTCACTTATGTCTACAAATTATGAACTTATAGTAATGTTGTTAACGTACATTACGTACCAATGCATAGTTGCATCCTTTAATTGTTTAATTAAATAAGTGAAAAGGAAGCAAGAAAGCTAGTGTAAAATCGGTGGAAGATGGATGATCCGATGAAATCAATTCCATCGAGTTAGGCATCAACTATTCCATTGTTGATATGTCCCGCGTGATTTCATATGTAACGCCTCACTTCACATAAACTTATTTTAATTCTCTATAGTGAGTGTGTATGTGAACATGTTTACATGCATTTAGATATTGCAACTCATATACTTTAAGGTTGAGAAACACCTAATGTTATGAAAATTTCTTGTATGATATGCCTAATGATTATTGCCTCACCCCCTCATGCTATGAAATGTGTGTTAAAGTCTCGCAACCTCATCCCTCATGACATCTAATTATGGTGGCACGTCAAATACGCATTCAAGAATAGACAAATCTCCGATTAAAATTTCTAATCTTAAGTTATACATTAACCGAGACACTCAACTAGAGTTCTAATTTTAGTATGTAAATGCATCATCATGATTACTATATGTTCTAGCCTTCGAGGTGCAGGACTCTACAATTTCAAAGTTATTTTTAGAAATCGTGTACCTTCGGTGTTTACAAATTACAATTCGTTTTTAGTGTGATAATAATATATTTAGAACATATATGGGTGTTGACCCGTGTTTGAGATAGGTGTGTGTAGCCCATTATATATCCTTATCTCGTATTTTAAGTCTTAGCTTAGTACATTCTTCGGAATTGGGCTTATATATGAATTAAAGAACTACTATTCTTTTTTCTACAACGCCGTGCATATTTTTAATTAAATACAATCTTGAAGGCAAGAAAGACATATGATTATGATATTTATATCTGATTGTGCCTGTATATTGTGCATCTGATTTTATTTATGCATACCAATTACCAATAAACTTTTTCTCGATATGTGATTTTTTCAATAGGTACGTTGATTTGTGAGTAGACGAATCCGGCCTGTTGGGCTACCAAGGCGACTTAGAACTTCATGAATAAAACCCACTTTACTTTGTATCTAAAACCCATTCAAATTGGTCTCGTGGAGATCCGAGTGGACTGATTCCTTTAAATCAGGTGGGCTGGTGGGGTGGCCTTTAGAATGTATTGTAATAAAAAATTGATAAAAGTAATATTCTCGTTTAGCTCTACTCTTATTGGCATAGATGATCCAAAATGTATGGTTAAGAGTGACTTTTTTTCACTATTAAAATTATTTATATAAGTTCATTTTCCATAGCACTAACATTTAAAGTACCATAAGTTCACAACTTAACATAGCACAACCACGAAAAAATAAGTTACCCTTCATTATAGCATTGGTCTACGAACACCTTATTTGATAATCAAAAGTTGCTTTCAAGGTTATTAGTGTATAATGGATGTACATATCTTCAATTTTTAAAATAACTTTTATATTGCTAAACTCGTGTTCGCCACAAAATATTCTTATAGTACTCCGTATGATAAAGTAGGCATATGATTATTAACTTTGAATTCATTACTATATTATACTTTGTATATTTACAATATTCTGTTAATTTATATAATATGGTATATACTCCCTCCGTAACATTCATATCTTCCCACTTTCCTTTTTTGGACGTAACATTTATATCTTCCCATTTCTAAATCTTCCCATCATACCCTCAATAATTTAAAAAATAATACACTACTACACCTCTTTTTTTTGGATTTATCCTTCATTCCATCACATTATTTCACCATCTTCCCATCATACCTTCAATAATTCATACTCCATTTCACTATTCTTAATCTCACCCACTTTGGAAGTGGGAAGATATATCTGATACGGAGGGAGTATGTAATTTGTACTCCGATTAATAATACAAGGTTTGAAAAAAAATACTTATTAAATACATCTTATATTTAAGAAAAAAGTGAGAAATCAGATTATTTTGCTTCAATAGTAATATTACTTGATACTTATAACTTATCTACGAACCGGTTTGCTATCAAATTTTAATATTACTTGATACTTAACGAAATCATGAAATCTTTTTATCCACGCACTAAGAAACTTAGAAGTGTAACTGTATGTGTGGAAATACAATGGTTCCAAAAAAAATCTTCGGAAAAGGTGCAAATAGGCCCATGTACTAACCAAAAAGGTCAAATAAGCCTTTATTTAGGAGACTCTGTCTGGCGGTCGTCATTTGGGGTGGTTCCCGCTGGAATTTTTTGATGAAATTTTTTTAGCATCTTATTCATCAAGTCTAGCTAGTTTACTCATACCAAATTTCAGCTAAAACTTCAATCGGGAAAGCATTCAAATGAATTCTTGAAGATAACTGCGCTTCTAACTGCGCAGTTATTTTCAAAAATTCATTTGAATGTCTTCCCGATTGAAGTTTTAGCTGAAATTTGGTATGAGTAAACTAGACTTAATGAATAAGATGCTCAAAACAATTCATCAAAAAATTCCAACGGGAACCACCTCAAATGGCGACAGCCGGACAGAACCTCCTAAATAAGGGCTTATTTGACCTATTTGCACCTTTTCCCAAATATCTTAAAATCTCTTGTGTTATGATGAGTCTCTACTTTTGCATAAAATAGAAGTATTTGCTTTTTATATTAGATATCTAGGAAAATTTATTTGCATGTATAATCATAATACTTAGAAATGGATTCTCTGTGTTTTAGTTCGCCTTCCCGGTCTAGGATGTGATGCGTGTGATCAATTAAAATGTAAAAGGGTTTGACACATTGTTTATGTTGAATTATATATAATGACACATAAATATCTAATGGAATATATATTACTCCCTCCGTTCACAAAAACACTTCTAACTTTCCCTTTTTGAGCAATTTGTTTGGCTCACATTCATTTTACTTTTTTTACACAATCACAATCATAAATTTCCACTTTATTCCACTTTCTTAATTAATAAGCGTGTCAAGTCAAACCGCGAAGGATACAATATAGGTTCCTATTTATAGGATACAAAAGAACGGAAAGCACCTAAGAGTTTAGATGTGGGATAAATGACAACAAGCAAAATAAATACAATAGAATAAACAATTATAAATATTAACAGTTTAAATCAAAATGGGGTTATTGTATAATTTATATATTAAGAAGGCTATCAATATTCACAAAATTTAAGAAATATTTATAATTATATACGAGTAATAAAATCGTATATGGAGATTTCAGTACAAAGACTAACTCGGCCACGCCTGAACAAAATATTACGGAGTACTCCGTATATTAGTTACTTATTATAAAGCACATATACTTAATTATTTCTATGATAAAATTAATTGGATTTTATTGGTGTTGGACATGACAAACGTACGGCTATAAAAGTAGACATGGCGGAGTCAGGGCACTAGGTCGGTTGCTGTGTATTTTGGCTGGGCCTGGGCCTAGGCCAGGGTTACTACCAGAACGAATATTACACAACGCCAAACCTGGGACCCCAGTGAATGCAGGTGCCCGCGGCTGCTATGGAACTGGCTGAGCCGGATACACTCCATGGGGCGGAGGTGCAGGATACACACCATACTGTTGAGGTGCTGCCCCATATGGTTGCTGATAATACCCCCGGCCACCTCGGCCTCGACCCCCTCTAGCTCACCCTCCTCGCTGACCGCGACCAGCAGGACCACGCGGTGGACCACCACCACCCCGAGGAGCACCCCCTCGGACTGCATGAATCTGAGGTGCTGCGAATGCCTGATGCACAGGTGTTGCCTCCTGCGATTGAAGCAGGGAATTTCACTGCTCTTGTGCGGCCAGTATGGGACGAAGATCCTCCAGGGAAGGAACCCACGACATGTAATCAATGGTTGTGATAAGAGATTCATACCCGCGTCCCAAACCAAGAATGGCATACTCAATTAAATCACGAGCACTGACTGGAGAGTTAATGGATGCTAAATTATCTGCTAAAATTTTAATTTCTAACAGATCGATATTGATCCATAGTTTGAGAGTTCTTCTTTTTCTTATGAGATAACAAGCGTTTCAGTTCTATGGATTGAGAGATGCAAGCAGACATAAATCGTTTTTTGGAGTATCTCCCAAATAAGATGTGAAAATTTGAAATCATAAACTTCCATGAGAACATCTCGGCCAAGAGTAGCAAAGAGCCATGACCGCACAGTTTGATCAATTTTTAGCCAGTAACTATACTCAATATTGGGAATTTCACGACGAGATAAATCATATGTAGTAGGGAAAGGGGCCGAAATTGACCCACCGATAATACCCAATAAACTGTGAGAAACTAATAAGAATGATTCAAACTGGGTCCTCCAAGGCAAATAATCTTCAACTGAAGATAACCGGGTGGTCACAATATTGAGATGCCAGAGAAGATAATGCAGTAGAGGAATTATTAAAACCTGGCAGATTATGTGACCCGAGCTGCGGCAGAAGAGATACATCCGGTTCGCCAGAAAAGGTAGGGCCGGTGAATGGTGTTGATGTACTGCCAATTTCCGGAAAAACAGGAGGCGGCGGGAGAGTCGTCGTTGGTGTCCAGGCGAAGGGCGCTGGCATGTTAAATAAGCGGGAGGAATCGAGAGGTGGGATTCCTTGAACTCGCTGCAGCAGAGAAGGAGACAGCGGTGTACGTGGCTGCATGCTGGATGACGGTTGAGAAGGAGACGGTGTACCAGGGACGGAGCCAAACTGTAATATCAGCGGTGTCAACAATTAAAGTAATATTATAAAAACAATAAAGCATAAAAATATTAATACATAAGTAAATTTTATATTTTAACTTTTAAAAATACGACCCCTTTATAGTTTTGTGGGAATTAGTTAGAACATCGGCATTAATTAAATTTCTCGTGTTCATTTTACTCAATCATTCAATAATATTGAATTCATGTTTAGTATTTATAAATCAACTAAATCAACACAAAGAAATATACTCCCTCCGTCCCTAATAACTTTGCCATGTTTGACCGGCACGAGGAATAATAAAGTAAAAATTGTGTGGTTGTGTCACGCCCCGGACCTCCCCGGACACGTCAACAACCCGCCGTACAATACGAATAGTCAACCGCAATCCAACACATTCCTATTATACAAGGCGTCATGAATATCATTCACACATAAGTCATCCATAAACATACATAATAAACAATTGAATACGCAGCGGAAACATTGTTTAAAACAAAAGGGCCACACAGGGCAAACACGAACACGCAGGCTCTAAAGTAAAATATCCATGAGCATGTTTATTAATGTTCTAAAACAGAATGGAGGAAGCACGAACCAAGTCTTCTCTCCGGGGAAATCACTCGGGCAACGAGCACAGGAAGCAAGCTCTAGCCTCAACCTGAAATGGTGGTGGGACGCCCCCGAAGGGGTCAGTACTCTATACGGCTATAAAGTACTGGTGTGGCAGGCATCTAATAGATATACAACAAGTATTTCAAACACAAGACCCTCAAGTAGGGTGATAGTACATTATGATTGTAACCCTAAGTTACCCCGTTTAAAAATATACCTACTTTATATAAAAGTCAAGTAGTCGGCCCGTGGGCCCGTTTTCATTTGGAAATCACCATTCCCAACCCCGTGGCTATAAGCCACGACAACTCCTAGAGTCCAACCCTAGTACATGACATTGTATTCTAGAGCTCGGCTCTACTACATCACCATACAATTCATATACCTCGGGTCAATTTCCTTACCTTGCGTTCTAGAGCTCGGCTCTATTACATCACCACGCAAGTCCTAGAGCTCGGCTCTAGCTATACAATACATAGACTCCAAGTCTACACTTTACATGCATTCTAGAGCTCGGCTCTATTACATCACCATGCATTAAGGTCCAATTCTCAAGCAACCCTATGCCTAGAATTGACATATCATTAAACTACTTTGGGTCATCCTTAAAGACTTCCCATAACTTAACCTTAGTTCCAAACTAAGTTATTATATACACTTGAACTATATTCAAGTACCTTTCATACAATCCAATCCCTAGGATCAATTTAATCAACAAGTTCCAATAATCACTAACTAGTATTTCAATACTATTAAGATTATTGTTATCATACCATTATCCTCATTATTTGTAATTCTCTACATATTTATAATTATGTAGCAGCAACTTAAGTATTCAATCTCAATACACAAATATTTATTTATGTATCCACATAATTCATACATGAGCAAAATGCCCATTTTCACAAAATAGTTCATTTATACTCATTTAATCTCATATTATTCATACCTTCTCAAATCATTTCAAATTTCATTCCTTGGCAACTATATCAATATTTCATCAATATATAATCATCATAATCCATGAAAAATCATGATTTAAGCATTTAGGTAATCTCATGCTTAACCTACAAGTTGTAAGCAATTAGATGTCAATCCTCACCTCAATTGAGCTTTAAACTTTCCCTTCTTGGTCCAATGGTCAAAGCTTTGGTCAAGGTGGATTTGGAACTGATTCCTTGCTCAAATATGAGTGTTAAACAGCCTCCTCAAAGTGCTAGTTCAACCCTTAATCGTTGATACGAAAACAGCCCCTAGAACGGGTGTTTTCCGGCTAACTCGATTCCTAGTTTTCCAATATTTGCATCTAGGTTAGTATCTAACCTTTACATCAATAAAATAACTTTATAAGGACATATTATACACTTGGATTAGTGTATAATAGTCTCACCAATCGTTCATATCATTTGGAGAATGAAAAGTAAAGCTTTGGGGTTTAAAACTCACTTTAGAGGATTAAATCCTCTCCTGCGAGGTTGCGTTTTTCTCGGACGATTTGGTAGCCTTCCACAACTCCGATTCCTGCAAACCAGACCTTCACGGATTCCTCGTCTTGAGAGCTTTCTGTGGGTATCTCACACGCCTTAATTGGATTTGTAAAACTCGAGATATCGACCAAACAGTCTCAGCACTCTCACAGCTCGAGTTCACAGACCTCTGCTCGTTCCAGCTCGATTTTTGTAAGATAAGCCTTCTCTCCTCGAACAAAGACCACTCAATTGAGATAATAGACTTCAAAGGCTATCCAAGGACATATTATTCACGTTTTTTGGTCGAGTATAGCTTCTATAATGAGAGGAGACAAACAGCACACCAATTTGTGCGAAAATAAGGATGGTGGCCCAAGTTTTGATTCCTATCAAGTCATGTGCATGACCTTCTCAGAATTAAGGGGGGTTCTCACATGTGGATGTCTTTCATTTGGAAGAACTACATCCCTCCTAAATTCTCTTTCACGGCTTGGTTAGCCTTTCGTAACCGACTTGCTACTTTAGATAATTTGCATAGATTGGATGTTGTTAATATCTGCCCTTTTTGTAAGGGTGGTCCGGAAACGGTACCACACCTATTTTTTGCTTGTTCTTTTTCAGGTAAAGTGTGGCATAAGGTGAAAGATTGGCTGGACATTCCGAGGGAGATGGGGACTTTGCAGAGCTCGCTGAAATGGATTAAAAGGAAGAGACAAGGATCAAGCATCAGAGCTAAGGCGGCTAGGATTGCTTTTTGCTACTCCATCTATTGGATTTGGAGGACCCGAAATGCTGTGTGTTTTGATGGACTTATCCCGAAGGAAGATGATGTTTTTGTTAGGATCCAATACATTGTTTATAAGATCCTGTATAGCATTTATCCCCATGAACTTGTAAACTTTTGAGTTGTTTGTGCTTGACCATCACTTTGTTTGGTGTTGGCCTTAGCTTTCGCTTTTCTTTTTAGGTTGGGGAGAGGGTGTCCTTGTTGGATAACCTGCTTTTTTTGTTTCCCTTTTGATTGTACATTCTGAACCTTTGTTTTCTTGGTTGTTTTCTTTATAATATACTTACAGTTCATCCAAAAAAAATATTAACAACAGATGCTAATGGACGAAATATAAGGCAATTAGATATTTTCTGATATTCTCCTGAAGCGTCTCTGAAATAGATTAATTATGTGAAAAAAGCCAAAAAGTGATTATACTTAAAAAGAAATTGCTTGAAATAAATAGGGGAAAAGGAAAACTGTCAAATAGGTCCTCGAACTTTCATAAAAAAGTCAATTAAGTCCTATAAGAGACTCTGTCCGGTGGTCGCGATTTGGGGTGGTTCCCGGTTGATGTTTTTGATGAATTTTTTTGAGCATCTTATTCATCAAGTTTAGTTTACGCATACCAAATTTCAGCTAAAAAATTAATCGGAAGGGCATTCAAATTATTTCGAGAACGCAAAAATGCGCAGTTATCTTCAAGAATTAATTTGAATGTGTTCCCAATTGAATTTTTAGTTGAAATTTGGTATGAGTAAACTAGACTTGGTGAATAAGATGCTCAAAAAATTTCATCAAAAATTTCCACCGGGAACTACCCCAAATCGCGACGGCCGGGCAGAACCTCCTATAGAAGGACTTAATTGACATTTTTATGAAAGTTCGAGGACCTATTTGACAGTTTTCCCTAGGGGGAAATAATTCAAATACCCCAAACTTTGAATGGTTGTGAGATAAACAGTCCAAACTTACATATGTAATATAAATATCTCGAACTTTATATAAAAAGTTATGTTATCATAATGCTAAATAGTTTAAATTGTGTACCTAACAACAAAAATTTACATTTTTGAAAGACAAAATATATGGTCATGGTACTAAGATAAGTTTTTATATAAAGTTCCGGATATTTATATTACATATGTAAGTTTGGGGTATTTACCTTGCATCCCTTTAAAATTTGGGGTATTTAAATTATTTTCTCCAAATAAAAATAAAAACAATAGAAATTTTTGAAATAAGAGTATATATTATGTTTTTTATTCGCTATATATTAGTAATATTCTAATGGTTGGAAAATATTACCAATTACTCCGTATGTCACTAATAGTATCATAACGAATGTCTGCCAAGATATGGCAAATTGGCAAGCATATACTTTCAAAATTGCAGCAAGGAAAAGTACTCCAATATTGGAATTTCGTATTGTTTTTAGGTGACAACTCCGGTACCCATTTAAAAAATGGGATACCGTACCTACCATTCATTTGATTGGTCCAAATCATTAAATCCCTTTTAATTTAGATTTAAATAATTCAACTGCATGATTCTGGTTGGTCCATGTGGACAAATGTACGGTACCTTATGGGTACCATAGAATCTACCTTGTTTTTACTCAAAATTTTGAGAATTATTTCACTTCATACATCGTCACTGGGATGGTGTATAGTAAGCGTATAAAACTTAAAATATGTACCTAAAATTTTGTCAACTTTCCTTTTTTGATTGTCGCATTCCTTTTTTGGTGTATCAAATTTTGTTTTAAAATATGTCACTTTTCTTTTTAAGTAAAGAATTTATGGTTTCAGTTAATTCTCTCCTCTGCACAAACCTAACCATGCACGTTTTATTTTATTAATTCTCGTGCTGGTCAAACTTGGTTAAGTTTAAAGGAACGGAGGGGGTAATATTTAAATACTTATGATTAAAACAAGTTTTAAAAAATGTGACATCTTAAAGGTAGCGAGTATAGTAGTAACTTTAGATAAAGTAACTCATGTTCAAATTTTACACTAATGCGATTACACATTGTGGCCATAGTAATTCTAGTTAGAGAGTATATTTTTTTTTCATCATCAAACAGGCCTCTATTCATATCAAAAGATTCAAGATCATTACATCAAGCAAAAGGAAAATAAAACTGACACCAACTGAAACTTCAACAACTACGACTGTAACCCTATGGTGAGACTTTGAGACGGTCACCCCTGAGAGAGCAACACGAATCGCTAACCATGTAGTGGACTTGACACAGCCAAACCTATTCTCATAGATCCAATCATACCCAATGACATAAAGAGAGGCAAAAAAACTCAAACAAACTGTCAAAACTAACAACAAAAGTGGACACAAGAAAACAAATAATAAATAGATAAAAACTACAAGAAAAGCGTTCACGAACTCTAGCACCTCGTACATCCCATGGTGGTGGTTCAGGAGGACGTCTTACCACCGGTACCATGCTAATTGATACTCCGTGACCTTTGTCTGCCAAAGGCCATGCATCAATCCTCCGTCCCTGCATAACCAAACTCATCCCTGCTTCATGCATGCAACCAGAGTAAACGGATAGGCGGCGCCGATCTTCTCCAACGACGACAGCAATACATCATCCTCGAACCTTGACCACAACGCCGATCTCCTCGAGCCATGACAGCAAATCCGCCCTTCGAGTATGAAGCACAAACAACAACAACCGTCCTTCGATTAAAATCGAAGACGGAAATAGGAGCCGTCCTTCGATTAAAATCGAAGACGGAAAAAGCGGCCGTCCTTCGATTAAAATCAAAGACGGAAAAAAACTCCAAGCGGCCGAAGCCCTTTAGAGAGTATATTTTTAAAACCGAATTTTATTTCATTAATTATGTTTCATAACTATTCTATGTACATGATCAAAAAAACTATTCTATGTACTATTTCCTCTGTCGGATTGTCTCATATTTCCTTTTTTGTTCGTTCCACTAAAATTATCTTATACCGAAATTGAAAAGTTTGTGTGATTATAAATCATTCTTATTTTATTCTTAGTTTATCAATTCATTTGGGTCTGTTTGTTTTTTGGCGGTTTATTTCACACCAAATCGCTGCAAAGAGCCGCGTTTCCCTTTGTAAAAAGTTGGTGGTTTGGCCTAAGCTCCTGATATCCAAACGGGGGCTTAGTGTGTACTGTGTAGTATATATGTCGAACCCAAATAATACCTCAACTTAGTTAAGGCCTTGATCATGGCAAATTCAACATAATAATTTTAACTAAAATTGGTAATTTGATTGCTACCTATAAAAAATGATTATCTATATACAATAGTTGCCGTGAGGTTAACGGCTCGGTAAACGGTCCTCGAACGACATTCATGAGGATGAGGTGATCCATTCTCTTTCTATAAATTAAATAGCATTACAGACTAAAATAAGTAATTAACAAGAGTAGTTTGAGTAATTACCTTAATTTCAAACTTGCGTTGCAGGATTATTTCTTGTAATTAAGTATTGAATAGACATCTAAATCATTTTTTCTGCCTCCTACATTCGACCAAATAAAACTCCACCGCAATATTTCAACTAATTCCTTCCCCATCCATTATCTGATATACTATCGTATAATGGAAGAGTCAAGATGGTATATTGCCTATGCAACTGCGTGGCTATGTGCCGCTGCACTCATTCTGCTAGCAAAGCATCTCCGCCGGAGAAAGCTTAATCTGCCCCCGGGGCCAAAACCGTGGCCGATCATCGGAAACTTGGACCTCATTGGTAGTTTACCCCATCGGTCCATCCACGACTTGTCGTTAAGGTACGGCCCCATAATGCAGCTCCGGTTCGGGTCCTTCCCGGTGGTTGTCGGATCCTCCGTCGAAATGGCCAAGACCTTCCTCAAAACCATGGACATCAACTTCGTTGGCAGGTACCATTAGTGGAGTAATTCATATTAGTACTACATGTTAGTTCTATTCTTTAATAAGTACTCCCTCCGTCTCATTAGGAGGTTCCAATTGCTTGATTGGCGATAAAATAATTTAATCTCTATTCACACTCTGATTATTTTTTGTAAATAAAATTTACATATTCAGAAACTATATTAAAACCGCTACAAAGCCTGATAAAAAATGCAAGTTTGATAAAATTTGATATATAAAATAAAAGATTAAGAATGATTTAAGTTGACCATGTGAATAGTAGACGGGAACATTTAAATGGGACGGAGGGAGGATAATATGTTGACTTTTACACTAATCACACGTCCTAGTTTGACTATGTTTTATTTATTAATGTATAAATAAATTATTTTTAAAAAATTATTAAGTTTGTCTCATTTGTGAATCTTCAAAATCTGAATTTTAATAGTTTTACTAAAAGAGATTACAGACATAAATATCCTAATACTCAAAATTTGATTGTGCATTTTAAACGGTGCACTTATTTAAAATGGAGATAGTAAGACTATAAAACATACTAGTACGAAGTAATACATCGATTTCTTAAAACGTTTTCGAATCTTTGATCAATAATGGAAAACTTTGGAAAATGGTTTTAATTAGT